AGAACCATCAAGCAGTAAAGAACCTTAAAGTCAGACTGATGAGCTTGTATTTCACCTTTGAAGCAAGAGAGAGCCACTGAAGGGTTAAGCAAAGGGGTGACATAGTCAGACCTATGACTTACGAAGATTATTTGGGCACTTATGAGAGGGATAGATTGAAGAGAGAAGAGATTGGGTGCAAGGCTATTACAATAGTCTGGGTAAATAGCAGTGAAACTAACATAAATTGACAGTGGACTCAGTCCAATTTTGTGATTTTTCTCCAGTAGCACATGAGTAGGAGTAAAGGCAATGGATGATGGGAGTAATCCAAGACTGGGGCTCGGCAAGGTATGATCATTAATAGGAGAAGAGGGCAAGGGACTTGAGTGTAGAGGATATTATAGAGTTGATCTGGTTCACTACAGGATTGAGGTAAGAAAAGGCAGAGAGTGTACCAATGCGGGGATGATAACCCAGGAAAAAGTGAGGGTTAAAGGGATTGGAAATCATGGTGAGAATGAAGAACCAGCTTAGGGAATCATAAAGGCAGAGGGAAAGATGCGATGAAAAAAGATTATGGTGAAATCAGTGAATCTCAGTGTTCATGAATGTGGAAATGGAATCTTTGTGAGCTATGTCAAAATGAAGAGTATGGCCATCTCTACGTATAGCTGAGATGGAACAGAGGAGATAGAGAAAAGAAGGTTTGTGACAGGGTCTTGGGGAACACTTATGATTGTTGTTGCTCAATTGTTCAGTCACGTCTGACTCTTTGTGACCATGTGGACCATGGCACACCAATGCTGATATTCTTGTCAAAGATATTAGAGTGATTTGCCATTTTTTTCTCCAGTGAATTAAGGCAAACAGAGATTAAATAACTTTCCAGAATTACACAGTAAGTGACTGATGCCACATTTGAACTCAGGTCTTTCTGACTCCAGGTCCAGCACTCTATCCACTGAGCCACCCAGCTTCCTTGTGATTAGGCCATGGGAAATGAATTATGAACCAATAAAGAAGATTTCAAAGGAGTGGTCACAGAGGTAGGAAGAGAAACAGGAAAGAGAAGTACCACAGAAATCAATAAGAATTTATCCAGGATGAGGGGGTCAATCATCATTGAGTCCAAGATGATGAATAAAAGTTCCCTGGATTTATTAGGTATTAGTTAAAAGATCATTTGTAATCCTTGTGAAAGCCATTTCAGTAGAGTTGTGGGGTCAGATTGTAAGAGTTTAGGAAGTAAGTTGATGGCGATAAGAAGTCAGGGTGGGAGTGTCAGCAATAATGGTGGTTAGAAAGTCACATGGTCAAGGATGCTACTAATTCCAGATAGAATGCAGCTTTTGTCTTCTTTCTCTCTCCATCTTCAAGAAGGTGCATTGCTAGGGCTAATGGAATTGGTAGTAATGATGGTCTGGAGGGTCAATTGTGAAAAGAATAATAATAATCACAATAGCTCACATTTATATAGCACCTTAAAATTTGCACAAAGCTTTGCATGCACTATTTCATTATTATCTCAGTTTTACTGCTGAGGAAGCCTGACTGTCAGAGAGGCTAAGGGACTTCTTTTAAAATTAAGTACCTAAATAGCAGTTATAACAGATGTGAAAATAAATATACTTGACTCTAATGTGATTATAAAAAAGAGCATGGATGCATTTCAAATGTTAGATATTGCTACTCTAATTAAAAACCTTTTTATCATAATTACTCCCCATCAAGCACTAAAAAGGTGAACCATTATACTTTATATCTACAATGATATAGATATAGAATATGAAATTTCCCCACAAACACTGTAGTAAATAACTTTTGTGAGTCATTGATTTCATTTCATATTTAAAAATTATGTAAGATCATTCTACCATTATATTTGAATTAAAATTGTGCGTAAAAAAAAATTAAGTGCCTACTATGTGCCAGGCACTGTGCTAAGCATTTGACAAATATCTCATTTGATCCTCACAATAACTATTGGAGATAGATGATATTATTTCCCCCATTTTATAGTTAATGAAGCTGAGGCAGAGAAAGTTTAAATGACTTGCCCAGAATTACATGGCTAGAAAGTGTCTGAGGCCATATTTGAATTCAGGTCTTTCTGACTCCAGCCTAGCTCTCTATCCATTGCATTACCTAGCTGCCCCTAGGTAATGTGCCCATGCAAGTCATATAGTTAGTGTCTGAAATGAGATTAAAATACAGGTCTTTCCAGTTTTCTTTGCTCTTTACTCCTCTACATGAACTCTTCAATCCTGCCTAATAGCCTATTTGCTTTTCCTCACACATGTCATTCCGTTTCCTAACTCCACACCTTTGTACTATCTAGCCCTTATTCCTGGAATGATTTCTATTTTCACTTCCAACTCTTAGAATCTCTGTCTTCTTTCAAGGTTCAGGTGAAGGGCTACCCCAGTTCCTTCAGCTGTTAGAGTCTTTCCTGCTAACATATTTCATCTATTCCTCAATTTCCTCAACTATAAAATGGGGACAATAGTAGCACCTACCTCTGAAGGTTATTGTAAGGATCAAATGAGATAATAATAATAAAAAAGCACTTAGCACAGTTCCTGGCACATAGTAGGTGCTATATAAATGCTTATTCCCTTCCCTTCCTTCAGTAACCAAGCATGGAGGAATGGTAAGGGAACATAACTTAGGGTCAGAAGCCCTGAGTTTGAATCCCCTCTGTGCCTTTTACTAGCTGTGTGAGTTTGGGGAAGTCATTTCACTTTCTATGCTCATATTTTCTTATGTGCAAAACAAAGGTGTTGAACTAGATGATCTCTTAATGTCTCCTGCACTAGCTGTAAGGACCTGATTTCACATCACACACATTTACCACTTTTGTGATCTTGAACAAGTCATCTAATCTCCCCAGTCTCCAGTTTCCTTATTTGTAAAAAGGTTGGATCAGATGGTCTTTGAAATCCCTGCCCAGCTCTTCATCTATGATCCTATGATCAATCGTTCTAGCTCCAAAAGTTAATGATTCTATGAAATGTATGCCATTACCTATACATAGAATGAGTATGGACGGTCCAAACCTACGATTCTGACAGGGAAAGCAGTCCGTAATATCTCGATCGACAGAGGGCTCAGGGTTGTTATGTTCATACATCAAGATAGCTACATGTTAGAACCCATAACAAAATGGGTTAACAAAATTAAAAGGAATATTTCAACTTCTTGTCATGTTGGCCTTAGTCACCACTGCATAAAGCTATAAATCTTGTGATTTTCACAATATATCTGGTAAGAATCTTACAAAAGTTTCTAAGAAGACAGCCAGTAGATCTTGCCATTCCCCTTCAAAGCAGTTGAGTTTATAGATGAGGAATGGTTTCCTAAGGTCCAAAGTGGGTAAACTGCAGGAGTGCTTTGGGATCTTTGACATGTATCCCTAGAAAACATGTTGGAAAGTGGACATATTTGAAGCGGGGAATTGGAGACAATATTTTTGGGGAAATTTCTTACAATGTGTGAAATGTAACTAGTGTCCTTGAAGGAGTCTTGGTGTGGTAGCCCTATTCACTCAAGAAATTTCTCAGATGTTCATAAAAGTGCAGTATATTGAGCTGTGGTCCCTAATGTCTTGCTTATTGCTACTCATTGTCTGCATCCACCATACCTATTCTTACCCAATAACCTCTACCCCTGATCACTTGCCTTTGGTCAATGGGAGTGGTGCTCTGGGCCAGAAATTTCCAGGGAGTAGAGGGAACTTCTTTTTGGGAAAAAAAAGAAAAGCCTTTACCAACAGACTTGCTTACTTGTTTAACAAATTAAAAAGTATCCATGCCAAACATTCAAGTTTTGTTCAGTTCAGTCATTTCAGTCATGCCTGACTCTTCAAGACCCCATTTGGTGTTTTCTTGACAAAGATACTGGAGTGGTTTGCCATTTCCTTCTCCAGCTCATTTTACAGATCAGGAAACTGGGGCAAATAGGGTGAAGTGACTTGCCCAGGGCCATAGAGCTGGTAAGTGTCTGAGGCTGGATTTGAACTCAGGTGTTCCTGACTTCAGGCCTGGCACTCTATCTGCTGCACCACCTAGCTACTTCTCTCCGCCTGCCTTACCATCCTAGCTGAGACAATCCTTGTGGTCAAGGAGCTCACATTTCAAAGAGGGAAAATATACATAGGACGGGTCAGCTCTTGTATGTGTTTTTTTTAGTCACTTTCAGTTGGGGGTTTTCTTGACAAAGATACTGGAGTGGTTTGCCACTTCCTTCTCCAGCTCATTTTACAGATGAAGAAACTGAGGCAAACAAGGGTAAGTGACTTGCCCAGGGTTACACAGCTACTAAGTGTCTGAGGCTGGATTTGAACTCAGGTCTTCCTGACTCCAGTCCTGGTGCTCTATCCATTGTGCCACCTAGCTACCCATCCAAGCCTTATATTTCACTATTGGTACTAAACTAAAAAGAGCCTCATGTCATGTAATATGTATATTTTCACTCATGTGTTTCAGTGGGAAATGAATCATTTGAGGGGAATAGGAAATTGCTAATCTCACAGGAAGTTGTAGCAATTTGAGCTAATTCCAAATGGAATTAAAGCAAAGATCTGGGGAATAGTTGAGTGGAGGATTTTCAATATCAGCTTTCAAATACTGGGTTGAGAATATAAATAGAAAATATAGTTTGTCCATTGACCTCAAAATGCACTAAAACTGAGTAGTTGTCACAGGACGAGCCCCACCCCCTCCTTGATTTATCATCTCCCAGACAAAAGCAATTTCTGTGCAGTTTAATATTAGCACAGATCCTCTTATGCTTATGCGCTTCCTAGCAACCTGATGTGGAATATGTGCTTGTTAATCTTCTTTTGGCAAACAACTATCAGAATTCATGGTAAAATAAGAGAGAAAGCAATGCTCAGTGAATTTTCCAATCAAACACCCAGATGCAATGAGGGCTGATGCGATAAGCAGAGTCTCTTTAGCAAGTCTTGAGTATAATCCAAATTGCCACCTTGCTAACCGTACTTCCCTATAATACCTCAGGCCAGGGAAGATGTGATCCACATGCTGAAGACAGAAAAAACCAAGCCCGAAGTTTTAGAGGCTCACTATGGATCAGCAGCACCAGAGAATGTCCTTCGGGTTCTGCACAGAGATGCCATCCTGGCCCAGGAAAAGTCCATAGGAGAAGATGTATATGAGAAACCAATTTCAGAGGTAATGATGATGATGATGATGATGATGATGATGATGATGATAGTGGTGGTGGTAGTGGTGGTGGTGATGACAACATGAAGAGTCATCTGGGATGGGATTGTGAGAGTGGGTAATTTTTAAATTGCTTTTCACAGACTAGTTTTTTAAAAAAGTTGAATATTCTTAATTTAGTTCCTTAATAAAGAATTGAGTGGGAACATACATAGTGGATAGAGAGCTGGCCCTGGAGTCCAGAAGAATCTGAATTCAAGTCACATACTGTCTGTGTGACCCCAGGCAAATTACCGAGGCAACTGTCCAAGACAATGAGAGTCAGAACATGTGCTGATTTGAATTGAAGAGTGAGTTCTTAATCAGGTCAGGTGAATAAAAAAGTGAATGAATAATGTAAGGTTAAGATAACATCTTTTTGGAAGATAAAACCCAGTTGTATCACAGGGATTTGAGGAAGTATTTCAAAATGATAATCTTCCCTTCTCTTCCTCCTTCCATGGGATTATACCTGGGCTAGAACACTTAGTTTCATGTAGTCTGTTACTCCTCTAAGCAAGTGATGATGGGGATAAAAATAGAGTGCTATGAGCTGGTCAGTTTTAGTGTTGAGTTTACCTGGCTATAATTGAATTGGCAGGCGAACATTTCATGAGCTTTGTCATGGGGTAGGTGGTGGCAAAGCTTCTAACTGATAGCCTTCTGTAGTGTTTCTGTAGACTTTGATCGTGAGTTAAAATGAGATGGAAACCGGCATGAGTAAAATAAAACTGAAGGCTCTTAAGTTGAAAAAGAAATATCTTTTAAAGGGCTTTAAACCATTATTTTCAATAGAATTATACTAGAAGACATTATTGTTTCTTGATGGTAAGCTCTTATGATGATCTTTAGAGCTGAATTATAGAATGAAGCATTAAACAATCAAGTCAAAGAGATTTCTCAAATGTTAATTTAATGAGGGGAATTGAGAAACATACAGACTTTTTTCTTTTTGCCCAAACCTCTAATTTAATCAAAATAGCGAGCTGCTGCTAAGGAAACTCCCTGTATTAATGCAGATAGGCATCGTCTTTGCAGATTATATTACAGTCCTAGGAATATTGCCTAGGAGCACATAGCCCATAGGTTTCAAGTGCAAACTGGAACCCAGGTCTTCCTAACTTTAGGGACAGTGTTCTACTCCATACTGCCTCTCATAAGAGATGTAAGAAATAAAAAGGTGGCTACTATGTACTCCCTTAATTTTAGACTGCTTTCCAGGCTGTCAGTATGACAGCTCAGAGAGAGAAAAAGGATTACTCCAGAGGGCTTTCATAACATAATTATAGGCCAATAATCTCATAATTTTACATTTCTGCAGTTAAGAAATAAGTGCTCAATTCTACTTGTCTCTTTTCTAAAGAATTGTGATAATTTAATTCAAACACTGAAACACATTTGGATAGATTTACAATTTTCAAGAATTCTATGGGCTAACCTAAATTGTAGCCAGCATGAAAAAGGTTTTTTTTATTAGACTTCGAAAATGCTTCTTATAACAAATCCTATGAAATTAGGTATATGAAGAAAATGTTATATAATAATCATTTTAGTACAAAAAGTAAGAGTCACAGAAACATTAGTCTTAAAAGGACCTAGTCCTGTCCTTCAGACAAACCCACACTTGAATTATTCCAGATAAAATGCGAATGGTAACACCTATTTCTTTTCTACCTTACAGTGATATTATAAGGATCAAAATAGATTATGTTTTTTAAAATGTGTTAGAAATACAGAAGTGTTTTATAAGTATGAGTTATCACACTGCAACCTATTTCCTCTTCTTTTTCTAGGCAGCTTTGAAAATCTTCAAAAATGATTCGTCTTGTAAAACTTTACTAAATATTTTCATTCTTGGTTTTTTTTTAATTTTAATTTTGTTAAATATCAGCAGCCATCCTAACAATGATTCTTCTGCAAAATAGTTAAGTTTTCAGATGAGAAAACTGGGCCTGAGTGTTTTCCCAGGTCAATGGGGAACCAAAATATACCCAGGTATATTGTAGGATCCTTGGCTTTGAGAACCATCCTGGTATCCAAAAGAAAAAGAAAATAAATGTTGAAAGACAGTATACATTTTTTTTTTGGTGAGGCAATTGGGGTTAAGTGACTTGCTTAGGGTCACACAGCTAGTGTCCAGTGTCTGAAGTTGGATTTGCGCTCAGGTCCTCCTGACTCCAGGGCCGGTGCTCTATCCATTGTGCCACCTAGCTGCCCCCAAATCTTTTTTTTTTTTTTTGGTCTAGGCAATGCGGTTAAGTGACTTGCCCAGGGTCACACAGCTAGTGAGTATTTTGTGTCTGAGTTGGGATTTGAACTCAGGTCCTCCTGACTCCAGGGCCATTGCTGTATCCACTGCACCACCTAGCTGCCCCTGACAGTATACATTTTAAAGAAGGATCAGGAGACAATATATTGGAGGAAGTTTCTTATATGTGGAATGCGTCTTTTGACTATAGAGAACTCTTAGTTTTATGGTCATTTTATCGTTCTAAAAATTACTCAGCTGCCCCAAAAAACGTAGAATATGTTAGGCTTTATTTGCCAGTGTCTCTTATTTCCAGTCCCTGTCTTAGGCAGCACACCTATTGTCACCCAATGTCTGCCTCTGGAAGATGACAGTGGAACTCTGGATAGGGAATATAAGGGGAAGTAGAAGCAATGGCATTTTTAACCAATCAACAAAATGCATTTAAAACCCAGAGATTATCCTTCCCCAGTTAGAATGTTATGGGAGATGCTTAGCTTCTTTCACATTACTAATTGGTATAGTGGATAGAGCACTGGCCCTGGAAGTTAAGAAGACATGAGTTCAAATCTGGCTTCAGTCGTTTACTAGCTGTGTGACCCTTGGCAAATCACTTCACCTCTGTCTGCCTCCGTTTCCTCAACTTTACAGTGGGGATAATAAGAGCACCTACTTCCAGGGCTGTTGTGAGCACCAAACAAAATCATATTAGTGAAGTACCTGGCAGATAGCAAGGAACTCCTTGCATGCTAATTGAAATCAATCCAAGTAAGCCAGCATAATAGGATCTTATGATCATAGGATTAGAAGTCAAAAGGACCTGAAGAATTGTGAAGTCCGGTGTTTTATTTTACAGAGAAAAGAACTGAGGCCCAAAAGGTGACTTGCCCAAGGTCACATTAGAAAGGGTAGGTGGTAGATGCAGGATTTCAGGTCAAGTCTGGTGACCCCAACTTTCTCACTACAAGTTCAACACTCTTTTCATTGCACCAATTGCCTCCATAATAGCACTTGTGCTGATGGCATTCTTTCTCTGGGCTTAAGGAGACTAAATGGCAGTATGCAAATGGTATAGCTACTGGACCTGTGATTTTATTGTTATAGGAAACTCCTCAATGAAGAGACGACCCCAATCAATACAGGTCAGCACCTTTTCTACAACTTGAAGTCTTAAAAGAGTTGCCTGCAGCACTGAGAAGTTAAGTTATTTGCTCAGAGTTACACAGCCAGTATATGTCAGAGGTGAAACTTCAATCCAGGTCTTCCTGGCTCCAAAGCCAGCTCTCTATTCCCTATGCCACCATTGCTTCTCAGCGAATAGGAAAATACATCTTTAGTAAAAGCCTGCAGGGTTTTAAGTAGAGGATGGATAACATTAAGTTTGAGGAGGGTGTGAGGTAGGTATATTGTCAGATTTTTAAGGCAAGTTCTGAAGTCCATACTCTATTAATAAACATCTTCTGGAAATTGGATCCTATTTTAAAGGACTAGAGTTCTTTTAAAACTCTTTGTCTTAAATGCATCTAGTAGTAAGTAGGCCTTTAAGAAAGGATTTTGATGATGTAAACTACTTCCTCGAGGCAAAGCATGGCACATGTACATAGTGAGTTCCTAATCTTTCAGAGATCAAGAGGGATATTGTCCTTAATATTACTGGGTATAGGACTTTTTGTAAATCAATAAATCTGTGCAAGAGCTTATTCTCCCAACATTTAAGAAACATGCCATCTATAAAAAATTATTATTCTTCCAAATGAAAGAATGTTTATATGGTTATTCCTGGGCTTTCCATTGTATGGTGCAGCGAAGATTCAGGTATGAAGACAGAGGATCAGGTTTGAGTCTTGGCTCTGCCACTTCCTACTTGTGTGAAAGTGGACAAATCCTAAACAATATACTTCTCAGTTTATTCATTGGTAAGATGAGGAGTTTGGACAAGACTACTATTGTGGTCCTGTCTTACTCTAAACCTATATATCCAATGGAAATCCAATAAATGATGATATGGGACAGGATAGGCAAAAATTCTCAAGCTTGCTTTTTCTTGACTTAATTACTTAAGGAATACAAAGTACTTAAAATGGCATGCCAAATGCAATGAAATATTAAGATCTTCCACTCTTTTGCCTACTCAGCTGGACAGGCTCGAAGAAAAACAAAGAGAAACCTATCGGCGCATGTTGGAACAGCTCCTGTTGGCAGAGAAGTGCCACAGGCGCACTGTTTATGAGCTAGAAAACGAGAAGCACAAGCACACGGATTACATGAACAAAAGTGATGACTTCACCAACCTCCTGGAACAGGAACGTGAAAGGTAATCCCCCTTCCCCTGTTCCATAGGACAATTAGATCCATTCTGAGGGCTCTAGAGAGCTTGGAACCCAATAGTTTGTGAACGTCAGTCTTAATCTTTTATGCCACTTTTACCAGCAATTCCTTCTATATACCAACACCTGATGCATTCCCTCCCAATGACATTTGCAATTATAGAACATAAGTGTAAGCTACTGCCTCTGCTGGAAAAACCAGAAGCCTATTTCAATGATGATTATGTGTATACATATAGGTAGAAAATGCCATGCCAATACTAACTATCCACAAAGATAGTGGTATAAAATCATAAGAGTAGAAAGGACCTTTGGAGGCTGTCAATTTGAGTTCAATTTGTAAGGCCTTTGAATTTATTACATACTATTGATGTGTGGTGATATCTTTTTTATTCTATGCATGGAAATCTAGTGAGTAAAGAAAGCAATATCTTAAATTTACCCAGGAATTGATACTTTGAAAATTTTAGGACTGTATTGCTTCCTGAGGTCAATCAAGGCAATATGGCAGCCTACTGCTTGACTGAGTAGAAAGTTTTTAATGATGGTACTGACTGAATCAAAACTACCTATTTTATATTCCATGATTTGTGAAATTCATAGAAGTCAGTAGTTCTTGACTTTTATCCCCATCACTTGTGGTTATTGTCAAAGAGGTAGTAAAGATTTCTGTCTTTACCTCATTTGAAGCAATTGCCTATAATGTGAAAACTTTCTCATTTTTTTATACTAGTGGTTCTTATTTTTTTGCATGTGTTAGGGACCCCATTGATAGTCCAATGAAGCCTATAGGCCACTTCTCAGAATAAATAACATTAAAAAAAATAAAGTCAAATACATAGAATTACAAAGGAAACCCTTTATATTGAAATATAGTTCTCAGCATATAAAAACAGATTTATGATGTAATATATCTAGCAGAGCATCTTATAACTACAGTATTTTTGAGCATGAATGAAATTTTGAGTTATTTGCAAAAACCGTAACGTGAGATGAAAATATCTGGAATTTCTATTAATGACAAAGACACAGGTATTACTAACACCATCATACTTGTTGCCTACATTCATCATTGAAAGTAAAGTTCACTTAGGGGTTAGTGAAAGTAAATGACTAATTTTTTTTCCCATCTAAGTTCATGGATGCCCTAAAATCTACCAACAAACCTCAAGTTAAGAACCTCTGCTTTTTGCTTTCTTACTCCCTTCAGGATTTGCTTTTTATACTTTTTCCATCTCCTTTGTCAAACTAGCTGCTTATGGAACCCAGAAGTTTGAGTAATTGAGCTGAATTTGCTTGTGTGTTTGAGGATTTGGGAACAGAAAGCTGCTGGAGATGGGCTATATTTGTCTTAATTTTATGAGTTCTTTGAGTAACAGAAGAGAAGTCTGATGTTTCCATGAGTCTCCTTAAAAGAAAAATAATTGGGGCAGCTAGGTGGCACAGTAGATAGAGCACTGGCCCTGAAGTCAGGAGGACCTGAGTTCAAATCTGTTCTTAGACCAAACACTTGACATTTACTAGCTGTGTGACCCTGGGCAAGTCATTTAACCCCAATTACCTAAAAAAATAAAAGAAAAATAATTATCAAAAGAAAGCAAATAAAAGTGTTAGATGAATGCAAACAGCTTTCTCCTCCTCCTTCTCTCCTTCTTTTCATTCTCTCCCTTCTTTTTTGCTGCTGTTGGAATAAGTTATGAAGCACACTGAATTTAGAATCAGAAGCCCTGGTTCTGTATCCACTTGTGACACTCATTAGCTATGTGACTTCTGACAAGTCATTTCACCCCCTCTGAGGCTTGGTTTCCTCTTATGTAAATGAAGATAAGGAAAATAATGTTTGTAAGTACCAAATGAGACAATAGATATATAATGTAATAGATATATAATAACTTTATAAAACCTAAACTATATAATTACTATATTTACTATAAAATTGTCAGCTCTTCTTATCATTATTTTGGCCAATAATACAGATCAATTAATATAGGACTAATGAGGGTAGGGTGGAAGGAAGAGGAAAAGGAGGAGGCTAAGAGGAGAAAAGAGAGAGAATATTTTACCTTGAATGAGCTCATTCCACTGCTATTGCTAGAGTAGTTTGTGATTTTCTTGGGTTTTCCTTTTATATGTGTCTCTGAAGGATTACCCTTGTGCTACAATATTTGTGTAATTTGCCGCTGGGCCCCAGATGACTCTGTAGGAGAGAGGGAGGCTGGTGACTTTGCACAATTCTCCCTCACTTAACTCCAATTCACTTGCAAGTCATGGCATCATCTTCCTGATGTTACAGCCTTCTTCAAGAATGAAGGACAAACAACTACAACAACAAAATTTGTAAATATGGACAAATAGTTGTCTTAGTCTGACAATATTTGCTAACCAGTCAATATGCATAGTGTCCAGTTTCCAGATCTTTCACAACTTCTCAGCTTCTGCCTATGGATATTACAAAATTATTTCAAATGAGAACTTAAAGGATATGGACACAGCTATCCAAAGGGATAGCCCTTATTTGGAAAAGGGCAAATGAGAGCCATTGATTTTGATATTTTGAAATTAAAAATTGGGAAACCTTACATATTTAAAGTTAATAAACGGAAAAAAAAAAGAGAAAAACAATGACATGCAGGGGTCATCAAACTACAGCCCAGTCTATTTTTGTGGCCAGGAAGGTAAGAATAGTTTTTACATTTTAAATGAAGTTGCATCGTATTTTAAAATGTAAAAACCATTCTTAGATTTCCATTGGTATTAAAAATGACAGCAGGCAAGATTTGGCCCTCCTGCTGTAGTTTGCTGACCCCTGAATGGTGGGTAAAGAGCTGGCCTTGGAGCAAGGAAGATTGGAATTTAAGTCTCACATCTGACATATACTGGCTTGTGTGATCCTGATCTTAAGTTCTTAGCACCCCAAGCAACTCTCTAAGACTACACATTGTGGAGAAGGGTGGAAAGGATTTTTTTTTTCAATCTGGAGGTCTCTATTTCAATGAAATCACAGGTTTGGTCAATCCCAAGTAGACAAAAAATGTATGTATTTAAGGAGAAACATAACTGAAATGATCTTTTGTCATTATTATGTTTAAAATTGCCCAAGTAATATTAGTAGTATTATTTATGCTTCTACAGGACTTTGAAGTTTTAAAAGACTTTCCTCATAACAATCCTGTAAATTAGATAGTAAAAATGTTATTATCCCATTTTAAAGGTAAGGAAAGTGAGGCTGGAAGAGTTCAAGTGAGTGGCCTAATAAGTGATAGTTAATACATTTCAGATCTCAGGTTTCCTGGCTCCCATTCTTGTCCACTTTCTTCTATACCACATACGCTTACTAGATAAGTAAAGAAGATACTAAGAGTCCACCTCCACTTTTCCCAATGAATTCAAATCAGCAGACTTGGATAAGTGACACATGAAGACAGTGAAAAAATTAATAAACATGATGGCTACATCCCTGATTGTAATTAAAAAAAAATCTGGGGCAAGGCAAGAGGATTAGAGAGGGACAAATATCATTTTGATATTCAAAAAAGAGAAGAGGATAGAGTCTTCAAATTATAGACAAATGAGGTCAATTCCTGACCCAGTTTTAAATTGCTTTATTAAGGGAATTTAAGAAAAAATTATTTTCAGTTCCAAATTCTGTCCCTCCTTCTATCCTCTCTCCCACCCTTTGAGAAGACAAGAAATATAATACTCAGTATACATGTGAAATCATCTAAAACATATTTCCGCATTATCCATGTTGCAAGAAAAAAAAGCAAGAAAAATAAAGTGGAAAAATATGCTTCAATCTGCAATCAGAATTCATTAGTTCTTTCTCTGGAAGTAGATAGCCTTTTTTTTTTTTTTTTTTTTTAGCATGAGTCCTTTGGCATTGCTGTGAATCATTGACTGATCAGAGTAGCTAAGTCTTTCACAGTTGATTATTGTTGCAATATTGCTCTCACTGTGTACAATGTTCTTCTGGTTCTGCTTGCTTTGCATCAGTTCAGATAAGTCTTCCCAGATTTTTCTAAACCTTCCCCTTCATCATTCCTTACAGTACAATAGTATTCCTTCACAATCATATACCATAACTTGCTCAAACATTTTCCAATTGGTGGCATTTAACAGGGTGGATTTTGAGCATCTAGAAAGGTAAGAAGTGATTAGTGAAAGCCAGAATGAGTTCATCAAGAATAGTCCATGGCACCACATTTTCTTTAGGGTTTCTTCCAGCTGTAAATCCTATGAGTCAGGTAGTTTATATATAATACTTTCATTTTTTGTTTGAGGGATTTAAGGCTTAGAAGGGATAAATGACTTGACCAATGTCACATTGCTAGTTGGTAGAAGAGCTAGGAGTTAAAGTTAGGTCTTTTCCAGTTTTAACAGTACCCTCTCCCTCATGGTTGGAAAATGGGCATTAGGCATAAAAGTCAACTAAAGCTTTAAGAAAAAAAAAAGGATAAGTCAGTCCTGACAAACAAATCTCATTTCCTTTTTTGACATGGTTATCAGACTAGAAAATCCAGTATATAGGTACATAGTATATAGTATATCTGGATTTCAGCAAGGGAACTGGCAAAGTTTCTTATGAGATATTTGTAGGCATTATGGAGAAATGTGAACTAGATGATGATAAAGTTAATTGGGTTCAGAACTGGTTGAGTGAACAACACAACTCAAAGTATAAAACCAAAGAAGAATGATTAATGGATTAATGTCAATCTAAAAAGAGGAAGATCTCAGGTTAGTACCCCCATATTAGCTCTATACTGCTTAACATTTTTTATCATTGATTTGGATAAAGGTATAGTATAGATTGCTTATTTATCAATTTTTAAATATGCAGCCACAAAAGCTAGCCAGCACATTTATTGACTGAATTAGATACAAAAATATCTTGAAAATCTAGAAGAATATGCCATATCTAATAAGATGAAATTTAGTAATAGGGATTGAAAATTGACTTACGTTTACAGAAAAGAAAAGGAAAAAA